ATTTTTTTTCGAGTTTTGTTGATATTTTTTTATCAAACAGGCAAACAATCCGAAAACACAAAAAATAATGGAGAAATTTGTATTGAGAGCTCAAAATTTGGCTCAAAATGACAAAATTTTTGCTACCGGGCCTTCCGGGCCGGGCCCGTGCCTTGAAAATTTCCTCAGGCCCGGGCTTTGGCGGGCCGGCCCGGAATTTTACAAGTATGGTATAAACTAATGTGGTTCTAAAAATATTGCAAAGGAAGTACTCCATAGGAGTTTTAGACATCGGAATTTTTCTCGTCAATTGTTCCGAGGAATGATTTATGTCTTCCAACAGACATAGGGGCTAATTGGATACCTGTCGGACTTGTGGCCTGAAAAATGTTTTTGTATTCATAAACATAAGGAGTAATTTCTAAAAACATACATTTTCTGATTGTGCTCGAGTGTTCTGACGGGTCAGCAATGCTTTTTGTTCTTGCTTCTGTGCTTCTTCCAACTTCTTCTGCGGTTCTTCAACAATTTCAAATCGTCCATGGTCACCCTGAAAACTGATCCTTATGAAGAATAAATGAAGAAAGTCCTACCGTTTTCGATCTTTGATAGAAAAATGTTCCTAATATACAGACAGTACAGAATGCCGCACCAACAACCACCATTGCCAAGTTGTACAGAAACCGAATCGATCGACGAGACTACAATGAATAATCATGCAGGAATGCAGGCACATTCAGAAACTAAAGCGATCGAATGAAGAAAAAAACAAATTTACCGTTTTGATAGTTTTTCCATTATGTGAAATCAATTCCTGATCTTTCGCTTCATCGAAAGTCAGTGTTTCGCATTTTTTATGATTCGCATATGTTCGGAAATATGGGCAACCCTGAAATGAATCCTCTGAATGATTTTCTTCAAAAAATCTACTCACAACTGAAGGACAGAAGTAGTTGTCTTGTGACAATGTCGCAGATGACAGATTGTAGAGATCACCACCAATCAGTCTGTTCCATAGCCATTTCGTAGCGTAGTTATGGCCTCTTCGATTTAACAAAGGCCTATCTCTGATGAACAATCCACTAGGATATCTCGAAGTGATAGTGACCATTGGGTAACTGATCATACCGAAGGTAGGTCTCTGAAAATTTGTACTTAAGTTAAAAGCTAAATTAAAGACTGAATACCGTTGTCTCTCCATTTTCCACATATTTCTGGAGATCTTTCCAAACTCTAGACCATTTCCTGGAGATGTCGTACATAAATCCTTCTGTTTGGTTTCTAGAACACTGACAACGGTTTCTGAAAATTGTTATATTTAAAATATAAGCCATATTCGTTGTGACCGACTTGAGAAGATTCGATTTCTGTTCATGAAAAGATGAAACATGGACAGGTCCTAGAAGTACAACGAGAGCTTTCGGAAGCTCGATTTGAAGATGTATGATTGCTTTCTTAATGTGATTATAAGATGGTCCGTCGCATTTTGTACAGATCTGAAACGGATTCCGATGCATTTGCGAAATTTAAAATAATAATATAACAAGTAGTGAATTTCAAAAGTTTTAATTTTCACATCAAAGTACTGAAATTTCAAAAATTTTTGTGAGCCACGTGAATCTTTTGAATCTCCCAAAAGATGGACCGTTAAGATTTTGGGAGAAATATTAACACTTTCTGAATATTTTTTCCCAAAAGTAAAACTTTTGAAAATCACTACTTGTTATATTACCTCTTCGGTTCCAATAGTAATGATAATCATAATCCATTCGTTCATATAATCCACTTCAGTCAGCTTCTTCACTCTCCGAGTCAGCTCTACAGCTTGACTGTAAAGATCCTTTGTTGTAGCACCAGTCTGAGCAACATTAAGCTGATGATCGGGAAGATCTGCACCCATTCCATGCGAAACACCGACTATTTTTGGACTAAACTCGCGTAGGATATCTAGAAACAAAGGGATATAAATTTTCAGTAGCTTTAAATTTTAGGACGTACTTGGAATAGTGATCAATCCGTCAATAGTTGAATCTCCACCAATTGGAAAACTTGCGCCTCGAAACTCGATATCAGCATTTGGCCATAATCCAATTCCAGTTGCTAGTGCATCACCCATTGCGGCGATTATTGTGATGTCTTCTGGAGAAATATCAGCCACAGAGCGTCCGGTTACCAACTCCAACTTTGTGCGAGGACATGAGAAAGTTTTTCTAAAAAAATGAAGATCCATCATGAATCCAATAATGCAAAACCTTACCGGTCATTGAATGCAGAATTGATTACTCCAGCAACAGGTTGATGTTTCTCTGGTTTGATCGCAGTAAGTGACTTCAGATGTTGGTGATCTACACTGTCTCGTTCTCTGAATAAATGCAATTTTAATGGTTGGAAACTATATGTTTTGTGAAAAACAACCCGATAGAATTTAAAAGAAGGTTTGATCAAACTTGTGAAAATTGAAAGGAATTCAAAATTAGGTAACTAAAAAAGTGAGAAGGGAAAGATTGAAAGTGGAAGAGCAGATAGCATGCGTATTAGCATCTCATACGAAACCCGTCTAGATCTTCCAGTTCATTCGATGATGTTGCGGTGTCGAAAAATTTGTCATAATCGGTTGATTTCCCCCACAATTTAATAAGTCTGAATTGAAACAAATCGAAAAAATAGACTCCATAGAAGATAATAGGCTGTGAAGTTGGAAACCTCTGATATGCAAATTACCTTTCTTCACTGATGTCGCTGGAATCATCGCTTTCATCTACTTCGTCGTTTTTTTGAGCTTTTTCCCGTTGTTTTTTCTGCTCTTCCGGAACGATTTTATCGTCGTCGCTGCTTCTACGGCTGGCATAGTCCGTCAGGTTCGTAGAAAAGTCTTCATAGTCTACTAAACTTCTCGTCTCATCATGGAACTCTCCTCTTAGTTCTTTTTGATCAATCGAAAGATTTATTGATTCACCCGAAGCATAGAAGAAAAGGCACAATAGTAGGTTTAACCGCATTCTGTAAAAATAAAATGAAAAACTATGTTAAGTGTGGTGAAATGTGTGATAAGAACGGCAAATGATAGCGAGGACGAAAGCTTGAGATTTACTGAATTGATATATTGGGATCATGCTATTTTTTAGAAAAAAATATCGTCTCAGTTAAATAACGAGATTTTAAAGCTTTTTAGCTCAAAATGGTAGCGTTTTGGCAAAAAAAGCCGGCATTAAAGACGGTTCTTGGCTTTATAGAACCTGTAATTGATATTCTTCATGGTTTTTGTTGATCAATATATACTTTCCGGCTTAGTTTTTCATACAAAGTAAATTTTCTGTTAATTTTTCAATAGAACTTCAATTTGTTGCAAAAAAAACCGAGGAGACCCCGCAAATTCCGGGGAAAAGTGGGCGGAGTCGAGAAAAACCGTGCGGCAAAACCGTGCCAGGGTTGCAATTTAGGCTCCGCCCCTGACTCCGTCCACTTTTCTCCGGAGTTTTTTTTCCCCGGAAATTTTTTTCTCCAGAATTTGCGGGGTCTCAACCGAGAAAAAAAGTGGCGAGGAATCGCGCTCCAGTGGGCAACTGGCAGTATGCCAAAACTATGAGAATTCGCTGCGTAGCGACTCAACCAATGATGAACGATACGGAGAGAGGTCGACAGTGAAGTTTCCACCGATTTCGACGTTTTTTCGATGTTTTTAGCAGTTTTTTCAGTGGTTTCCTGTATTTTTTAAGACGAATTTGATGAAAAATATATATATGACACGAAAAAAGAATATCGCAACCTTTTTTTTGATATTTATTGCATGTGATGAGCATCTACGATCGTTTTAAAATTTGGGACATTACAGCTACGTTGATTAATTTGGCGAAGATTTTCTTACTTTTCGTTGTTCATATTTTGAATTTCGGTCTATTTCGTTCTCAATAATTGTTCTTGCAGGGTTAAACATGGCTACTCAAGATGAAGCTCATCTCGCCGAATTGAAGAAGAAGAGAACTTTCCGCAAGTTCACCTACAGAGGAGTCGACTTGGACCAACTTTTGGACATGTCCCGGTATGTTGAAAGAACAAAACATGTTCGGATGTTTACTGTATCAATATTTTTCTAGTGAACAATTCACCAAGCTTCTCCCATGCCGCATGCGCAGACGTTTGGATCGTGGACTCAAGAGAAAGCATTTGGCTCTCATCGCTAAGGTCCAGAAGGCCAAGAAGGCTGCTGGAGTCCTCGAGAAGCCAGCTACCGTCAAGACCCATCTCCGTGACATGATCATCCTTCCAGAGCTTGTCGGTGGAGTTATCGGAATCTACAACGGAAAGGTCTTCAACCAGGTAAGCGTTTCAGCGACAGTTTGAAGAATACGCTTGATTTGATTTTCAGACTGAGATCAAGCCAGAAATGATCGGATTCTACCTCGGAGAGTTCGCTATCTCTTACAAGCCAGTCAAGCACGGAAGACCAGGTATTGGAGCTACTCACTCTTCCCGATTCATCCCACTCAAGTAAAGTTATTTGTTGAACAATAAACTTGTTTCAAAGTTATATATTTTCCTTCAATTCATGATTTAAAGAAAAGAAATCCAGAGTCGAATGACAGCACTAGAATCAGCATGTTCTAATGTAAGACGCTGATTATTGGAATACTTCACGCAATTCAGCAATAGATTTACACGACTACGTATATCGTAATGTGTCAAATGAAGCAGTGAGACTTCGATGCATTTTACCGCTTATTCAGGAATTTCCATTGGTCCTGTTTTTGAGGAAATTCATAATTTTCACAACAGGTGTCCGCACAAATTTTCAGGGCACGGTCTCCCACAAATCATTTTCGAACTGCAAATTAAATTTTGATCTACAGAAAAACAATTTTTCGCGATCACAATTGCAGGTCTAAAGCCCAATTTTCAGGATTTTTTATTAGATTTTGTGGAGATTCAAGAATAATTCTTTAAAAAATTAGTTAGTGGTTATAGAATCCTGTATGGTCCTTTTCCGGAAGAAAATGTTTCAAAAATGGAATTTTCCAGATTTTTTACAGAAAAAATGTATCTCCTCTTTCAGTTTTTGACATTTCTAGAAGTTTTATAGCTCAAAAGAACCGCAATAATTTAATTGCACGAAATCGCATTTTTGCTGTGTTTTTTGATTATAAAAAAAAGTTCTGTCAGACGAATCAAAAATTCATCCATACAAAAGGAGGGATAAATTATTTCGTTTCTTTTGAGCTATAAAACTTCTAGAAATGTCAAAAACTGAAAGAGGAGATACATTTTTTCTGTAAAAAATCTGGAAAATTCCATTTTTGAAACATTTTCTTCCGGAAAAGGACCATACAGGATTCTATAACCACTAACTAATTTTTTAAGAATTATTTGAACCATCTTGAATCTCCACGAAATCTAATAAAAAATCCTGAAAATGGGGTTTTAGACCTGCAACTGTGATCGCGCCAAATTCTTTTTCTGTAGATCAAAATTTAATTTGCAGCTCGAAAATGTTTTGTGGGACACCGTGCAGGGGACAATTGGAACTTCACTACTTCGGACCGACTCTAAAATGCGTCTCGAATGCTACCTTTTAGTTCATTAATTAGACTCATAACATTATTGAGACAAAAAAGATGTCACAATACATTTATTCATTCGAGAGAATTCGATCAAAAGGTACTACAACGCAAGAAAGAAAAAGGCTGGAACAAGAAATAAGATAATTTATCTGGTTCCTCTCTGCTTGGCGGCGGCGACCATCTCGTCTTGGAGGGTCTCCATGATCTCGAGTCTTTGGTGGGTAACACCAGATGGGTCGAAGACCAAAGTTGGCTTCTTCCAGTAGTTGTTGCGGATTCTCTCCCAGTCCCATGGAGCAGTTGAGTGGCCTGAAACGCACAAGAATGAGGCATTCAAATCAGAAATCGGAACTTACTTCTGTCAAGCCAGATCTCAGTCTTTTCGAAGGAGTAGTAAACAGTGTAGCCGAAGAGAACACACCAGATAGCAAGAAGTCCGAAAAGTGGGTAGATTTCGTAGGCGTGTCCGAGTTTGCGGAACATGAATCTAAAAACATGGAGTATATATATATATATATAATTTGCATGGTTAAAACTGGTTATCTTTTTATGAATAATTTTTATTGTTTTTTTTTCACAAGATGAACACAATAACTATAAGATTTGACCCATGTTCACGAATACTTCAGTGAGTTTCATGTTCCAGCTGTTTACCTGGTAGCTGTGTCTCCTGGCTTAGCTGGGTTGGAGTAACGAGCGTCACGAGAAACATCGCGCTGATATTTGAAGAATCCTTGTTGGTCGCTGATCTTGATAGATTGTTCATGCTGAAGTTTATCGAATTTACACAGATTATTATCGAAGAAAGGTGTCACAATTAATTGAAAAAATTATCGAATTTTGATCAAAATACATGCCAATTTTGAACAATGATATCTCTTCGAGGAAGAAATGAAAACGCTCAAACAATCTGATGACCTCAAAAAGAATTATTTTGCCCGAGCCACATTTTACAAAAATCAAGCTACATGTTTCGATTTTGTTTTTTTTTCTAGTCATCAAATCGATGAATATTAAAAATTAAAATTTTTCGAGCGATTTCCTCTTTTTTTGACTGAAAAAGTTTGACTTGATTATTCATGTATTTAAAGATCCATTCCGAGGTATTTAAAGTTTAAAAAGAAGGAACTTACGTCAAGGGTCATTTTGGAGGAAGCGTTTCTGACGACCAGAATGCGGGCGACGGTGCATTTGGTGACCAGACGAGGAGTCAAGAGTGAGAGCGACATTCTGAAAACTGAAAATACATATTCAAGCCATTTCCGACAGAAATATTTCAGTTTGAGGAGCTTATAAATATAAAGGTCTAAAAAAGCGACTAAGTTGCTACTTTCTGCTCACAAATGTTATAAAATATATGACGGGATATTGAAGACTTTTTCAATTTTCTAATAAGCTAATTATTTGGTGCCGGCGCTTAAAAAAATCAATAAAATCGCTTCAAAAAACTATTTCAATGGACGGCTCGCCTTCACCGCTAGCGCTCCTATACACTTCGTGACGCACAACACGCTCCACAATAATGCGCTGTCTCCGTATCTCTGTTCTGCCTGATCTTTCCTTCAAGTTTCGGAGGAAGTTCAAAATCTGATTTTTTATAAAACAGTAACAAAATGCAATACATTTCAGGTATTTGGAAGTCGAACCGGCATTTTTCGGCAGTACAAACGAAGCAACAAAAATTTGAGTTTATTCGTTTATTTATGCAATCAACAACTTCTGAACATTTTAAATACAATATTTACGAAAGATTTTATTAATAATATAAGCGAATCAATGCACATCTCAGTATCCGTCGTTGGAGAAATCAATGTGATAATCGGTATACTTCTGCTTCAAAATGTCAACCGCAATCTGATGATCTGCACGACCGTAGCCCTGAGAATATCCATACACAAGAATATCCTTTCCAGAATCATCGTGTTTGATTCTGCCACCTCCAACACATTTCAACTTGAGACCTGATGCAGCAGTCGACTGAAAAATTCGAATTTTTAAAAAATTCATTCATACCGAATGAGGAATATAGTTTGTAACACCAGCTATGATTTTCTGTTATTTTATATTACCTTTGTTTCCTGCAGAATGTCGTCATGGAAGGTGCATCGGTAATATCCGCGTACAATGAACTTCTTCTCTTTGGATGCAGTATCCGTCACCTGAAAATATAATTTCGACTTCTCAAATATGATTTTTAGGTTCAAGCGGTCCATTGTTTTCGACCGCCAATTCTACGATTATACCCCTCCTCCTCCTCCGAGGTTTTTTTTCGCCTAAACTAGGGAAATGTGAAGTAGTGCTTTTAAGAAGAAAGTGTGCGTGTTCCTAGACCCTGGGGACCGATTTCTTGTGATGGGCTCCTTCTTGCTCTTCGGACTATCGCGGATATATCTGGCACATTCTTCCTCCCCTCTTTCTTTTTGGCTCAACACAACCAACCCCTAACACTTGGCTTACAATCTCATGTTTCTATATTCTACTATTATTCTCACTTATCAGTTGTATTGCAAGAAAAAAAAGCATTCGTGGAGGAATATCATCGGAAATTTTAAGTACCAGAATGAAAAAAGGAGCCCACTTTGTGTGCGTACCTTGACGAGTTTCCTGGTCTCATCTCATATTTCATCTTCTCCATATTCACTTTATTTTTTTGGAGAATATTTATTCTTGACAACTGCTGCTCACTTCTCTTTTTCAAAATCATTTTGTCTCCTATTTTTTTTCTCGAAAAATGATGGATGGTTGCAAACAACAAGTAATCCAACCGTATACTTCTTGGGCTTTTTACCTCATTCTTCTTCCCAAAATGAGTTGTTTTCAGGTTGAAAGCAATAAAATGGCAAAATTCCTTTCTCTGCACGTACTCTTGATTGGTTCTGTGATACTTTATATTATTCTTGGAGCTATTGTATTTCAAATGCTGGAAGGAGAACACTTAGATGTAAGCCCGAATTTGATTAAATTGTGAAAAAAAAGTTTAGGCTCTCAAAAAAGATCACATGGATCGAATAGACCAGAATGCGAAAGATTATGTGAATCGACTATGGGATCTAGCCAAGGAGAACAAAAATAACTATGGTGTAAGCAATTCTGACATTCCAAAAGAAAAACACAGGATATATTTATAGACCGTCGATGACTTGATAAAATTCGTAAAGTCAGAAACCGTTGACGATTTCAACAATTATGTCGATACAGTATTTTATGCTCACAGAGCTGTAAGACACGGATACGATGAGGTAGATCCAGATATAGTGATTTTTGTATTAACTTTTATATAGGATTCTCCTACATGGGATTTTGCAAATTCTGTGTTTTTCACTACTACCATGCTGACATCCATCGGATATGGTTATGTAGCACCCAGTACATTTGGCGGAAGATTATTTGGAGTTATCTACTGTTTGATAGGTATCTAGGAATTCTTTACCAGATAACGAAACTTTCATTCAGGAATACCTCTAACTTTGGTAACAGTCGCAAACGTTGCCAAATTTCTATCAGAGACCATATTCTTCTTGCATTATGAACTTTGGAACAAATGTCTCGAATGGAAACGAAAACGAAAAGGAGAAGTAGAAGCTGATCCAGCGCAACCAATGTTCGGTGACGACGAAAACGAAGAAGAGATTCTAGATCGAGTTCGATTAGTTCGGTTCCCTCCGTTGACAGTTTTCATGTTTGTTTTCGTGTATGGTTGCATTGCTGCTTGGGTGGTACGGTATTGGGAAACATGGACTTATGTCGAGAGCCTCTACTTTATATTTATCAGTATTCTAACCGTAGGTGAGTGGAAAGAACTATAGGAGAACCAGGGATCAATATCAAGTTGTTTTTATAGGTTTTGGAGATATCCGACCATCTCCTGGGAATATTTGGGTTACATTGGCTTTCGTCGTAGGTCAGTTTCCAAGACTTGAAAAATAATTTTTTGAAAAATTATGTTTCTAGTCGGTGTGATTCTCACTACCATGTGTATGGATGTGGTTGGAAGAATGTACTTGAAGGAAATTCACTATTTGGGTAGAAAATTGAAAAGCAACAATCCATTCTATCTACTGAGAGAAGCTAAAGCCAGGTGAGATCCTTTAAAAGGAACTTTTGAATCAGTATCCTATCCCATTTTTCCAGGAGACGCCGAGCAGCAATGGCCTCATTACTGGCACAATTGGCCAAAGGAATGATTTTCGCTCATAAAGATTATAACGAATTGGCCCGAAAGAAGTCAAAGAGAAAGAAGGAAAAGCGACGAGGGAGTCATGTTCGTGAGTATCTTTTTTCTAACTTTCACCAAATAATTTGATCTAAATCAGTACTATTCCAGTACCAAATGAGAAATTCATGTTCGCCCGACTACCACCAGACCCACCAAGTGATTGTCAAGTTGTTAGTACTTCTGCGTACTCTGTCAGACTGGCCTGGGCTCCACCTTTCTCACCCGATCCAGATTTGACGTATAACATTCGATACCGGTTGAAGTAAGTCGAAAGCCTTTACAGAAAGGGGATACATTTGCTTTCAACGGAACGTGCATTCAGACACAATGAAGACGCAAAAGTTAGAGAACTCCGAGGAATAAAAGGAAACACAGTTGAGATAATGAGTGTCGATTCTTGCTCCCTTTACGAGTTCAGAATCACAGCTCATAATAAATTTGGAGAGAGCAAGGCTGTATACTTAGTTCAATATACTGGTGAGTTTCATTGAATTCAAAATTACGCAATATTTTTCTTCCAATTTCAGAACCCCAACTGAGCCCTCAACATATATTGGCAACACGTCTAAATGCTAATACTATTGAACTGACATGGGAACCACCATATAAAAAATCTCACGAAGTCAAAAACTATGTTGTGTACTTCACCGAGAATCCAAATGCATCACTTTCAGAGTGGGAGAAAATTCCAGTGAACGGAAGAAGAGTGAGATCCGAAAAGAAGTTGGGACCATACTTGTAAAATTCCGGGCTGGCCCGCCAAAGGCCGGGCCCGGGCCGGGCCTGAGGAAATTTTCAAGGCCCGGGCCCGGTGTCAAAAATTATGTATTTTTGAGCCAAATTTTGAGCTCTCAATATAATTGTTTCCATTTTTAATCCGTATTTCGGATTGTTTGTCTGCCTGATCAAAAAAGATCGAAAAACTCAAAAAAAATCACATAAGGGTCCCCCCTTATGTGTTTTTTGAAAATTTCGAAACTAGTTAAATGACGGGCCCGCCGGGCCGGGCCTCCGAAGTTCCGGAAAAAGCCCGGCCCGGCCCGGCCCGTTACAAGTATGGTTGGGACTATTAAATTATAAATTTACAGGTAGTCTTCCCAGATCTACGTTTCGATTGGTTCTACATGTTCAGTGCCACTGCTGTTTTCAAAGATGGACAAAGGTCTCCTCTTTCAAGGGCCCTTTTTATAAAAACTGATAAAATTGAGTTCCATAAACATTGTAAGTCATTCTAAGTGAGAAAATTGTAATCTTTACAAATCTTCAGGCGTTGGGCACTCAAAAACTATTGATGTTATGGATTCAATATGCGAGAAGGAAGAAAATGAAACTACAGCGCTACTGAAGCGCGATTATGTTTCTTTTGCTGTTTGACTTGTTTTTGACTCATTGAATAATACAATACTTTGTCATTTAAATTACCATACCTGAATCAGAATATACTTGAATACACCTTTTGGATCGATGTCCACATCAGCAATGTCTGTTAGTGGCATTGTCTCGAAACGGCCTGAAATCTAAACATTACAAACTCCCACATAACTTTGAGACTTACGCAGAAAGCGGAATATACTTCTGGAGAGTATGTTTCACCTGTAAACATAAAATGTGACTACCGGAAGAACGCATGATTTAATCTATCGAATTCCGATTTTTGAAAAAGAGACGACCTAATGAGGGGTAGCAATAACGCAAAAACTCAGCATTTACTTACTGTTTTCTTCCTATTCAATGGCAAGCAAAAATTAGGGTTTCTGGTTTTTTTTGATTACGGTAAAATAAAGGTGCAGAAGAAAAAGTATTTTAAGGCTTCGGAACATGTAATGGTTTACTGTACTTGGAAAGAAATATCAGATGAGCAAATCGATAATGGGGTTATTCAGGGA